CCCCCTGCTTGTGTTCCCTCTCTCGCTGTGTCTCTCTCTGTCAAATAAATAAATAAAATCTTAAAAAAAAAAAAAAGAGTAAGATGCCTTTTGAAAATTGCCCAAACTAACAACCCATTATATTAGTTTTTTTACTCAGTATATAACAATTTTTTTAATCTAACCTTTCCCCCCACCTATTTTTGTTTGCAAAATGAGACTGACATTGAGGAAAGTGTTGAGCAATCCAAATTAATCAAAATGTGTGTGCATGTGTGTGCTGTTAGTAATTGCAAAACAGCTTTAACTAAAATATGAATAAATTGATCCAGGTTAGTTTTCAAAATTCTGATAAAATAAAGCCTTTATCATATAGACTAGACAGATGTACAGAGCTTTAACAATGAAAACTAAAAGGAGAGTATTCTTTTAAAAAAATATGAGCTGCATGCCTTGGTTTTAGTTGGAATCTTGGGTTACCAGGCAATGGTTACATACTTTTCACTTTCTGTCCTTGACATCTTGTAACTGATACTTGGGAGGCTAAGGATTACAAAATTATGGCTATGAAGTCATGCAAATTATACATGGCATTTTATTCTACACAGCTGAGAGGGCATATAAAGTGCAAACGTTAACAAATCTAAAAACTCAACTAGGAGAAGATCATCCCTGGCAGAAACATTAATGAGAGAAGCAAAACTATAAAAGTTTGGTCTTGAGCCTAAACCTTTTTTTTAAGTTTTAGTAAGAAAACTCTGTACTTTAACTAAGATGGAGGGCAAGCCACTAGTGGAATATTTTACATAAAAACACTGTGATAAAGTAATTCTGGAAACATAGGGGCATCTTTTGGCCAGGAGGTGACCCTGAGGCTTCCCTGTGCCCTCTCCACATGACTACACCACCTCGTAGGACTCGAGCACACTGAAATCCATAGCGTACTTATCATCAGAAAATATACTAGGTTTTTGTTGTTGTTTCAAAGTTCAAAAGCCTTGCTGTAAAGTCCAAATTAAGGGCATATCAAGAGAGAAACTGATAAGGGAATAAGATGGCTACTGTGAATTTACTGGAGAACATGTACTGTCAACTCAAACAGTGAAGCCATTAAGAACAGCTTGGTGAGCTCTTTGGGGGATGTGTTAGAACTTTCAGCAGGCAGACAGAAAGAAAGGTAGTACTGACGAAGGAAAAAAACAAAAGACTATGGGTCAGTTCAGGTAGATGGTAGAAAGAGCTTCAACTTACTGGCAACATCAGTTGTAGTTGAGAATAAAAGAATAAATCAAGTTCAGATCTTGGTGGTAGCCCAGAAACTAAATAAGCTCAATTAAAGTGTCTGGGACCCATTGACCCAGGTGTCCTCCAGAGTAAAGGAAAACAAACAAGCCTGCTTGGGACGCTGCTTAGGTTAGCTAAGCAGCCTTGCTTCTTGCAACAGTTGAAAGCCTTCTGTGCGGCGAAACTGAGAGCACAAGCCCCGTGCGGTACTGATGAAACCCCAGCTGTCCCGGTCTCCCAGACTCGGAGCTTCCGCACCCACGGGGGAAATTCACTTTGGGGACATAAAGGGCAAACGCTGCACACGGCCATCTCCCCAAAATGAGTAATACGTAAGTTCTCTGTTCCAGATACGACTGCAGGACTGAAGGACATCATTCCCTGTCCTCCTCCTGATACAATAAAAATAAAATAAATCACCCAGAGAAAGCCACTCTGGAGTCCCTCCGCCTATCATAAATGCCCCATCCATCCGAGTTTCCAGCCCAAAAGGTTAAGAGCCTGGCCGAGGGGCGGCTGCAACTCTGCAGCTCCGGGACCCTGGGATCAGCGGCTACAGCACAGAAAGGACTTCTCTGGGGCGCACGGAAATGCCACCCGACCCATGTGATCCCCCCGCCGCCGGCACGCGTCCCCAAGCCCCCAGTCCCATTCCGGAATGGAGACAAGCACGAGACACCCCGCCACCCCGCCCCGCCGCCACGAACGAAGCCTTCACCAGGCTTCATATGAAAAAGTTTTTTTAACAACAATGACAAAAAAAAAGTGACTTCTTAAAAACAACAACAACTAAAGAAAATAAAATCTGCATCTCTCACCATCTCGCCTGAGGTTGGCGTTGCGCAAAGCTTTGATGGATGCGCTCTGCGGAGCCGCCGAAGTGTCCCGATAGCTGCAAAAGTTTGCGCAGACCAGAGTGTAGACGAGGCCGAGCGGGCGCATTGGGACCCGCGAGCCGGGGACCGCG